ACTATGCCAAATAACTATAATCATGTTTATGTTCAACAGTGGACTTTTGATAGACTGTAAAGATATACATTCTATTTTAAATGAAAATATATTGAAATATATTGAAAAAGGAACTAAATTTTGTGTACTTACACAACATTTAGAAATATTAACAATGTTACATTAAGTAAAACAAATGAAAACACAATTATATATTAAATGTAAATCAATAAAATTAAAATAAACATACGATTATTTATTAATTTTTCATCACATTAATAAACGAAAAATTTAACAAAATTTTTGTCTTTTTTCTAGAACATTCTCTCAATTAATGATGTAGAAAAAAATTGATGATAATATACTTACCGTTACCATTATTCAGTATCAAAAGTCAAAAGTTATAGGTTTTGTGATAGTTGCCTAGCTTGGCAGGAGAATTGGCAACTGCAGTTATTCGGAGACAAACTGTGTGGGAGGTCTATGTTCAGCTGTGGAGGACATAACTATCTTAGGCAGTAAATGTATTAATTAACAATATCTAAAGCTTAATATGTACATAATTTTTTTAAATGTTTGGTATGAATAATATTATCATTACATTTACATATACTTGCTATTTAATTAAATCAATTGATATTATATTAATTATTATAGGTATTGTATTTATGCACAGATACCCATACTTGATTTTTTTTTGTTAAATACCTTGATATAAAAGTGTACTATATATTTAATATATTAATTTCTTTTAATTATATTATTTCACAGCTTTTCTAAGGAATCGGCTATCCGTAACTGTTGGATAATCGCTACTGGTAGTGATTATAGGTAACCAACAAAACTTAGCAGTATATGCTCAAAACATTTTGAGCCTCATTGTTTTAGGTAGACTAAATATGCTTAACTTATGTAATTTATAATTTCTTGTTGTAAGTATCTTGTTGTTTCTCCATAAGTGATATAAGTTTGACCATGTTGGTAGTTATGATTTTTGACATGTTTCTGTATGTATTAAAAATTGACTAGCATTGCTTATTTTATTTTCAAATGCTGACATTCTGTATTATTATGACTTGTAATCATTTGGTTGCGTGACAATGACAAAATATTTACTTATAGATGGATTGGTTAAACATGAATCCTCATTTACAAATGTTGGAACTTTATCTGTACTACCATGTTTTATGCAAATAAAGATTTAAATAAAAGATATAAATAAATAATTTAAGGTCTGACCTAAATATACAAATGAATAATTTATTATGTACTTAATAATAATTGTAAAACTGACTGGGAATACCTACCAATGGGACATTTAGTCCTCCATTAATCCCTTTTATAAAGGTGTTATAAACAATAATGTGTAAATAAATTAAGAAATAAATGTAAATATTATGATAATTTCTATCTAATTTTCATAAATAATGTAATATGTTAATGTAATAATGTTTTTGACAAGAGATAAGTATTACCTATCTAAGTATAGTTTAGGAGTTGTACCTTATTATTTATACCATTAAAATATGTTATATACAAGGCATATATATACTCCCTTCTAATCCGATTCTAACAACCAGCACCCAAGAATTTCTGCCATGCAAAAGTATAAATCAAGTTTACAAATGCATATTTTTGAGAAAGTCTAAAGCTACTCAAACCAAGAATTACAACGAATGTTCTAGAAAAAAGACAAAAATTTTGTTAAATTTTTCGTTTATTAATGTGATGAAAAATTAATAAATAATCGTATGTTTATTTTAATTTTATTGATTTACATTTAATATATAATTGTGTTTTCATTTGTTTTACTTAATGTAACATTGTTAATATTTCTAAATGTTGTGTAAGTACACAAAATTTAGTTCCTTTTTCAATATATTTCAATATATTTTCATTTAAAATAGAATGTATATCTTTACAGTCTATCAAAAGTCCACTGTTGAACATAAACATGATTATAGTTATTTGGCATAGTTTCAACGCTTGGAAAGCGGGTTGTCGTTGACTATTGAAAATGCTGCTGTTTATCTTCTTTGATGTTTCCCTATGTCGCCTCATACACCACCCATGGAATGATATGAGGTAGCAGATAATCTTACACTGCATGGTAAATTAAAATAGAATATTATAAAACATTCGTTTTTATTTTATATACCAACATATTACAAAAACAAACCTTTTGTTGATGCTTTACAACGTATATTAACTAAAACAATTCACCACCTTAACCATTAGGTAACATGATTAAGCCACCTAACAATAAGTAAGTCACCTAAAAAAGGCCTTCCCTAGATATCCTCATAGGATGACATTTGCCATAGTTGCCACGCCTGCGTGAAAATATGCGTTATGCTGGTTGGCCACCGCAGTTTTTTATTATTTTAAGTTTTCATCGGTATAGTGCTGCTGCCCCATCCCCATCTTGTATTATTGCTTACGACGCGGGGTAATATCATTCCGTGTACAGACAAATTCTCTTGTACGCCACAACTTGCCGCACACAAGACACTAACTTATCAAAACATGCAGGAAATCGCGGGAGTAGCCTCATAACTGTGTTTTGTACTACAAAACCTAAGTGGAAACCCTTTCCTTTCGGAGACCTGTGTTTAGCACTGAACTTGTGATGGAATGGTATGTTAAAACATTATTTTTTTTTTTTGTAAAAACAACAATTTTAAATAATAAACAAAAAGGAAATTTTCTGTGTAATGCGATATCACACTTTGTGCTAGTAGTCCAGTAGTAGTAATGTCCAGTAAAATCGTAGATGCACCGTTAAATACAGAATGATGATTCTGTTTTTACGCCGTTTCCGCCCGTAGTTTTTAGTCACAGAATGTATTTTCAAGAGAAATTAATTAATCATTTGAATTGTAAAAAAGCATTTTTTTATGGTAACAATTAAGTTTTTTGTATGAATGTAAGTGCTGTGAATATAAATAAACCCATAACGGGGGAAATGGAACAATATCTGGTAACCCAGTGAAAGTACCTCGCGCCTATTTCTATCTCAAAAGCATACGCGAATGCTTTATCTAGTCAATCCTCTATCTACGTAAACGACGCTCTTTCTCTTTTGCATTACCAATCTATAACGTTAGTTACTAAATCTATGGTCTCTACATATTTATTTATCTATGGCTTCCATAATTATGTGTCTGTTAAAGTCACATTTTGATAAGAATTCGATTATATAACAAAACTCTAAGATATTTGGAATTACCTGATTATAAATATATACATTTTTTTTATATTAATCTCCAAACATTAGCCATAATGTGCACTAATTTTAAAGGCGACTCTTAGTAAATGATCTCTGCGAGTAGTGTGTACCTCTGTGAAGAAGCCTAGCGATTTTTACATAGTATTTGTTACACTTAAAACAAATTAACCATTTCTAAAAACTAACGATAAAAACAAGCATCCAGACGCAGACTATTTATTTTACAGCATAGAAACACTTGTTCAGTACAGGAACGTACCTTCGGTCCTGCATAGCCTCAGCCAAATGCTTAGCCATTACGCTACATAGTCGTCATTTATTTTTTACCTAATTAATTACTAGTATATTAGTGCGTTGTTTATTTTATGTTTTTATACATAATAGTTGTAGAGATATAACAACAAAGTGCTCTTAATACATTGATTTCTTATCTTAATCGGCATTTTTACTCAATCCCCGTAATAACCTTTATTTGTCATAAATCATTCAGTAGTCGACGGCTCCGTGGCGCAGTGGCTTAGCAATCAGTTATTGCGCTGGGGGCCGCAGGTTCGAATCCTGCACGGAACAAGTATTTGTACGAGTATGGCCTACAAATAATTGTTCCGGGTCTGGATGTTTGTCCTTGTGAAATTTATGTTTGTAAACTGCCTCCACACCTCTAAACACAGGAGAATATATTAGTGTGGGGGTGACGTTTTTTTTTTAAAAAAAAAGGTATAGAGATCTAACTTTTGTTATATAAAATTATCGATAAACATTCATTCGATAAAATTGTTCGATGATAGATATTTACAACATTATTCGTCATCACAGCACTGTTTGTCTAAAATAAATGTCATGTCTTGATGATGGTAAAGTAGCTTGGCGCCCTTTCATATACTGGGCGGTTTTCCATTTGCCGGCAGCCGGCACGGCGACAGCGCCGTGGCTTCGTTTTTCCACTACGCCAGTGCCGTTGCCGTTCAACGCTCGATTTTTGGGCAGAACTAACATAGACCTCAGTTCTACAGCACGTAAAATGCTCTCGTCAAGTCGTCGTATTTTTTCTTATGTCTATTACATTTAAGATGAAAATATAATCAACGAGAAGTCAAATTTTGAATTCATCCAATCTTAAAAATAAAATACTTAGAAGGAACATATTATACCTTATTTTAAAAGTTGTAAATGGACTCTAAAAATATTACAACTATTTTCACGTGAACAAGGAGACATTTCCGCATTTCAAAAGTCAATTTCGAGTCTCAATCTCAACGCGTCCCTTCTAATTCGGCCCGCGCACACGCATACGGCTGCGATACGTACACAATACACATGCAGTTTTACCGGCCGGCAACGAGTGGAAAGCTTGCTGTCACGACACGTGCGACGGCACCGGTATGAGTATTCCCCGTGCCGTCGCCGACGCCGGTGAGTGGAAAAACATTGCATATATTTCATACATTTTATACATTTTTGCTTCCCCGGCAGCCGTGCAGTTACCGTCGTCATCGCCGTGCCGTCAGTTTGCCGGTAAATGGAAAACCGCGCAATTCCTTTTACTAAAGGCAGAATCAGACGGTTCTCTCGAAAGAATGTTCTCTCGAGTGCATGCTTCATTTTTCTTTCATTCTATGTTCAAACAACTTAACTGGAATGACATAGAAAAGAACATTAACAGCGTCTTGGAATTACTTTAATTTGTGAACATTTAATTACACATACACTACTAAAAAATCTGCATGTTTAACCGGGAGGTCCAGAAGGGGCGCGTTATAATCGAACTAAAAGTGGCTGGTTCGATTCTGGCATGTTCATGGATTGGTTCACTACAATAGTAATACCATGGGCTCAACGTCTGGAAGGACCGAAGCTGGTTATAGGAGACAAGCTTTCAAGCCATATTAACGTAGATGTGGTAGAACTTTGCGAGCGTCACAATATTAGGTTCGTGTTACTACAACCAAATTCAACGCATTTAACCCAGCCTCTGGATGTTGCATTTTTTGCTCCACTTAAACGAACGTGGAGGAAAATTCTTATGAAATATAAGATAGAAAACCCAAAGCAGACGTCTCTCAATAAAATCCACTTTCCTATACTTTTAAAACAATTAATTGAAGAAGTGAACTTAAATAAAGCCGATAACTTGATCAGTGGATTTAGAGCAACGGGCATATTTCCATATAATCCACAGAAAGTATATTCAAAAATTCCGGAATACTGTGAAGAGATCACTTATGACGTAGATAAATCTTTACTTGACTATCTAAAAGAGAATCGGAATCCAAACCCAATAAGGCGAAATACAAATAAAAAAATGAATGTCGCAGCTGGAAAATCTGTCACAAGCTGGGACATAAATAAAAACGTAACCAAGAAAAACACAAAGAGTAAAACTAGTGAAATAACAAGCGAAAGAAATTTTATTGCAAACAGTGGTGAAGAAGTAGTGCAAAACGACATACCAGAAAAAAAGAGGTCAAAAATAACTATTCTCTCAGACATTAGAATACCGCCAAAAACAGACAAGAATAAAAAAACACCAACGAAAAAAATAAAAGAAGCTAAAGCTGGACCATCTGGTATTACGATAAAAAGAAATTTACAAAACGCTTGGCCATCTGTTCTAAAGGCAATTTTGAAAAAAGATGTAAAAAGGAAGGGTACAAGAACCAAAAAACTCCACGATAATTCTTCGGATTCAGAGTCTGACTGCTCTGTGCAGTATGCAGATTCTTCGGACTACGATTCAATTGAAGACATGCAGGACTACTTATTGAGACAACTGACAGAAGATCAGAAAATGGAGGAAAAGGAAAAAGATAAACAAATGACCGAATTGGAAACGAAAGGGCATGAAACAGAAAGCTTGAGAACAGAATATGACAAGGGGAAAGAAGAATGGTTAAAACAGGAAATAGAGGATCAAATTAAGGAATTGGAAAAAAAAGGATATGAGATAAAAAAATTGAGAATAGAAAGTGATAAAAGGCAAGTAAAAGAGATGGTAAATTTATATGACATGGATAAAGTCGAATGGGAAGTACGGAACATAGAGGAACAAACGAAGGAATTGGAAACAAAAGGACATGAGACGGAAAGCTTGAGATCAGAAAGCTATGAAAGGAAGGGACAAGAGATAAAACAAAAGATGGTAAATGAATATAAAATGGAGAGAGACTTATGGAAAGACCAGGAAACAGTGGAACAAATAAAAGATTTAGGAACAAAAGAGCATAAAACAGAGAAGCATGAAAGAAAACAACAGATAAAGAGCCTGATAATAGAAAACGATGATAAAAAAGGACTGAAGATAAAACGACGAAGACTAGAAGAGACTATGTCAGAAAAAGATACAATTAATGAACAAAATGAGAAGGCATCTATAGCCAAAAGTTTATATATTGGACAATACATCTTAGTAAAGTTTGAAAGTACCAAAAATACAAATAAGTATTACTGTGGCCTGATTACGAAAATATCCGAGCGTGAAGGTGTTTTCGCGAAATTCATGAGATATAAAAATGGCGGGTTTTACTGGCCCACAGTACCCGATACAAGTATTGTATTTGAAAATGATATAGTACAAATTTTACCAAATCCCTATAAAAACCGGCGTGGAATTTTATATTTTGATGTCAAATTTAAATATAAATTGGAATAATAAGTTTCATTAAGTATAATTATCAATACAATTTAGTTGAAACTATGGTAGTATAAGTATGATAAATGTGAAACAACTAGTGCCTGATATACATTATATAACTCTTCATGCGAGTGTCTGACTTGCATTTAATCAATGTTTTATAGCGTACATTTTAACATCATTTTTAAACTGGTGGCAGCCCTGATAATTAATTACATTTGTATGAGAATTTCAATGGAGTCCATGCCATCTTTACCTACCAGCATTTATTGCCCGTATATAGCTTTTTTAATTAAAATAGGTACCTTAAGATTAAGACTTATTTATTTATTTATTATTTTATCCATATTTATATTTATTTTTATATTAGTATGACATATTTATTTATTTTTTAATAAATAATGTAATGTAATTGTTGCTAATGTATAATAGAATTAATGGAATGCAATAAAGTTTTGTGCATTTTATTTCAGGCAATACATATTTTGCCTGAAATAAAATGCACAAAACATCATTTCTTCCCATTCCTACAAAAATTATGCTCGCACAGTCTCTTCTCCTTCCGATTCTCGACTATGCTGACGCAAGCTATGTAGACATAACTGAGGACCAGCTAAATAAGCTTGAGAGACTTCAAAATACTAGTATTCGGTTCATATTTGGATTGCGCAAATTTGACCATATTTCCCAATTTCGCTCACGTCTCAAGTGGTTACCTATCCGACTTCGCCGGAACATGCATATACTTTCTATTCTGTACTGTGTATTATTTCACCCTTCTACTCCTCCCTATCTAAAGGAGAAGTTTAATTTTGTGGGGCTTCCGGGGGAACCTTTACGCTCTTCTAGAAAATTCATTTTAAGTGTGCCAACTCACAATACATCATTTTTCAATAAATCTTTTACTGTCCAGTCTATTAAGCTCTGGAATGCCCTACCTTTGCATATACGTGAGGCACAAACTATTGTTATCTTTAAGCGATTACTTAAAGAGCATTACTTGTCTCAGTCGTTCGGAGACCGTTAGGATAGATTGTGTGATTATGTATTTATTGTATCTATCAGTTTTATATTATTGTTTGAGGAATTTTGTATATATATATATATATATATTGATATATACGTGTTGTGTGTATATTTATGTATATATGTTTATATATATGTGTGTATGTATATATGTATGTATATGTGTATGTATATGTATATATTATATGTGTTACCTTATCTTTTATTATGTGTTAGTAATTTATATTATTTCATGTATTACTTAGTTATTTATATCTTTTTTTTTTTGCATTTATTATTTGTATATTTATATTGCACCACCTACCACCTACCTATTCATTGTTTGTATTACTTTACACCTTTGGTTGCCTGGAAGAGATCGCTATGTAGCGATAAGGCCGCCAAATTGTACATATTATAATCTGATTTTGTTATGACGTTTGTATATTTGTTCGTGGTGTACAATAAAAGTATATTCATTCATTCATTCATTCATATTTTGTGAAATTAAATATAATTTGCCCAATATTTATGTACTTGAATCCAAACATGTTTTCAGGTTGATACTTACATATTATTTGTGACGTCTATGTAATATGGAAAATGATTGAAGGGTTGTAGGGCAATAAGGAGTATCCTTTAAAGCTGAACATAAAAGTGTATGTATATGTATAACATTATGTGATTCATAATTATGGACATAACCACTAATCATTATAACAATTATTATTGATCAATGCGAAAACATTATTGTACTCGCTGATATCCCTAAAGTTTCTATAATCCTACCAAATCAAAAAGTACACGTTTGTTATGACTTTAAGCTTTCGAATGACCGTTCAAATTAAGGAGCATTATCATGAAGAATTTACAATTTGGGAGTCCAAATATTTGACAAAATACATCACAAAGTTCATTAAACACATGAAATGTTACACTTTATATTCAAAACAATAGATATTAATCAGTACAAGTAGCAAATGTAAGCACAAAACAAACTTACCGATGAAAGGTAATATTATCAATTTTTCGTTGACTGATGCTGTTGCATCCTAAAATGCTATAACTTAACATCTTTTTAACCTTACCTAATAACTAAAACCCACAAAAAACACTAAATTCAATAACCTGTTTGCTTATAATATCAATGTTATTCACAAGAGCTTGACATCGTTAATGTCAAATAAAGGAGGGAAAACAATCAAAAACGCATACCTAGAAAAAGACAAGAAATATAGATTTGCTTCTCCCTTACTCTTATGTCTAACTATATACGTGCATTCCTTTCACACGCTGATGACGTCACTGAATGTTTAGTCTATAAGATACTAGGTCTATGGTCGTTTACGTGTATGTTAGAGCGAGAAAAATAAACTAATCCTTCACGTACACGCTATCGGGCTATATAGGCCTGGCGTCAATCGTGAACAATATAATTTTCTCTTAGAGGTGCTGACTGTGTAGTGGCGGTGTAAGAATATCCATTTGCCCCTATTTCATCCCGTAGGTGTCGTAAGAGGCGACAGTGGGAAACAAATCAGATCTCTCCTTGTTCTGCCACTCGATACTAGTGGGCGCTAGTTGTAACAAGTGTTGCCATTTAGACGCCAGGCATTAATGATGACTTTCAACAATATAAATTTATATTATATCAAATCAAGTGTACATGTTAATAGTTATGTATAATATAAATGTATTTAGTCAATTTTACATGAAATGTCTTATAAAATTCATTGTCATCTAGAGTATAAATACAATTTTAGATGAGTCAATGTTTTAGTTTTTTTTTGAAAATGTTTTAATGTAAGTTCTCGAATTTCAACAGGAAGTTTATTATATACTTTTATGCACATGATGGGACAATTTTTCTGAAAAAAGGCAGTTTTACATAATCTAAAATTTAATCTTGTTACGTCTCTGTGGAAATCTTTTATCTGTATTATCAGCACACCTCTGAAATAAATGTGGATATTTTTTACTAACATTCCGATTTCATACACGTACATGGAACACAGAGTTATAATTTTTAACTGCTTAAAGAGGAGCTTACAAGAATCGAAAGGTCCATATCCACAGATTGCCCTTATACTTTTTGTTTGCATTAGGAGTGCTCTCTTAAAATACTTGAATTGCCACAAATCAAAAGTCCATACCGCAACACGGACGTTACATATCCATGATAGTGGCTTCTTTACTTACTAAATTACTCTTCTGAGGGCATAAACCATAAAGCAACCTTTTCAATTTCTTGGCGGTGCGGTTGTTTGATATACTTATTTAATTTTAAGTAGTTTATTTTTATAGGATCGGGTGACAAACGAGCACACAGTCCACCTGATGGTAAGTGGTTGCTGTGGCCCAAAGATATCTACATCTATCCTCGTTTGCGAATCAATATGCAGATGCGTTGTCACTCATGAGGACTAAGATGGAATGCCTCTTATCCAGTAAAAAGGGTCTCCGGTTCTCTACACTTACCATACGAAATACAGCAGTGTTAAGCTGCTATTTTACGCTGGTATTCTGTGAGAGCGTGGTGCTTCCCCGGTGGAGCCGACCCATTCGTGCTACAACTAGACTGCTAATATAGCTGCAGCATGACTCTACCACGTATTTAGATTAGGGCATAAACTATTACTTTCGAGTCAATTTACTATAGATGTGACAGTACTGTTAACTTTGAGTTCATAATCTAAAGGCTAATCTAAAGGCGTCGACATATAGAGTACAATATTGATCGATTGCCAATGAAAGGTCATTAATATACAAAATAAAAAGTAAAGGACCAAGAATTGTACCTTAGTGGCACACCTTTGTGTTGGGTTGAAAGTTAGAGTAATGTGTGACTCGTTTGTTAAAATAATTTATTCTAGCTATATGAACGCATTGAGTTCTGTTATTTAAATAGGATTTTATTCACTGGAATGCAAGCCCTCATATGCCATATTTTTGAATTTTACTAAGCAAAAGCTCATGATCTACAAAATCGAATGCTTTACTTATATCGAAAAAGACACCAGTAATTTTCATTCCTTTGTCAATGTCGTCCGTTATGTGTTGAATTATGGTGTAAGCAGCTAGAGTTGTTGATTTTATTTATACTCTAGATGATCTTAATTGTATTTAATTTATTTGAGAGTCCTTCAGACTGAATTTCTGCCACAGTGGCCCGTCTTAACGGAGACAAACTTTATGAATACAGGCTGCTACTGAGAAATTCTCGACGAAAAAACACATTAATACATTTTTGAAGTTATACTTTTTTTAGGGCGTTTGGGAAAAATGATGCGAGTGATTTTTACGATACGCGTGCACACGCACACCAACACCTAAAAACGACACCATGAAGTTGTTACGATGCGCGCGCACACTGACAACTCAAAGCGACAACTTCAGTGGGTTTTTCAAGTTTTCGTGGGTACTGATGGGAAGAAGTATAACTTCCTATGTGCGTAAATAAGTACACACACACATTTTTTTAGCCCGACCCGTTATTCGAACCAGGGACCACATGATCAGTAGTCGCTCTTACGACCACTAGACCTATGAGGCAGTCAATAAACCTTAAATAAACCTTTTAAACATGGTAGAGTTAAGCTGTAGCTATATAACTATATTGTACACGTATAGTTTATAGTCATCCAACACGCTATACCTTTAAACACCTTTTTAAATTTGGAATTAAGAAAAAAATGGCTGTTCTTGCCTTACTGTTTGATGATAATTTATTTTAAATTGTTGCATCCTTTAATCTGAATAATATTGTTAAATGATGAACTTTAAGATAATAAATATATTATAATTAATTAGCATTAATAATGTCATGAACCCCCACTGGACGGAGTGACGACCTGGTAAGACATGCAAGAAGTCGATGGATGCAGGTCGCTCAGGAGCGTGCTTTGTAGCATTCCTTGGGGGAGGCCTATGTACAGCAGTGGACTTGTGAAGGGCTGCAATGATGATGATGATGACGATGAATAATGTCATATATGTCATCGTTTAAATTCGAG